TGGTTATATATACACTGGTGGGATATGAAGTGGGTTATGTATACACTGTAGGATATGAATGGGTTATATATACACTTTAGGATAGGAGTAGGTTATGTACACACTGTAGAATATGAATGGGTTATGTATACACTGTAGGGTACGAATGGGTTATATATGTTATGCATATATTGCAGGATATGAATATGTTATATATACACTGTAGGATATGAATGGGTTATGTAAACACTGTAGGGTATGAATAGGTTATGCATACACTGTAGGATATGAATAGGTTATATATACACTGTAGGACATGAATAGGTTATATATACAATGTATATGAGTAGGTTATGTATACACTGTACGATATGAATGGGTTATGTATACACTGTAGGGTACGAATGGGTTATGCATACACTGTAGGATATGAATGGGTTATATATACACTGTAGGATATGAATGGGTTATATATACACTGTAGGATATGAGTAGGTTATGTATACACTGTAGGATATGAATGGGTTATCTATGCACTGTAGGATATGAATGGATTATGCATATACTGTAGGATATGAACGGAATATATATACACTGTAGAATATGAATGGATTATATTACACTGTTGGATATGAATGGGTTATATACACACTGTAGGATATGATTGGGCTATATATACACTGTAGAATATGAATGGATTATATATATACGCTGTAGGATATGAGGAGGTTATATATACACTGTAGGATATGAATGGGCTATATATACACTGTAGGATATGAATGCGTTGTATATACACTGTAGGATATGAATGGGTTATATATACGCTGTAGGATATATAGAGGCACTGAGCGTGTTGTATGATATGGATTCATATGAACACAGCGAGTGGCGGTGAGATTTAAAATGGGTTTGCGACATGTGTGGGAGTAATTGTGTGCTGCTATATGTGTGCGTCCACGGTAACTAGCAAACATACAGAGTACCGTGCAGGTGCGACAGACACTAACACTAACACACACACACACAAGTACACAGGTCACTCATACTCAAACACACACATGCATGCATTGCTACACTACACGTGCATTTTAGGTTCTACACACACTGCAACGGTACACACAGAGCCAATCGAATGCTCTGACGGACTCTGCTGTGGAGTCTAGTGTACCTGTGGTGGCGCCTAAGGACCGAACTTCGCGGGACAGTCCTGTCTACAGCACAAGGTGCAGGTGTGTTGGCCGTGAGTACATATAGATGTAAACTTGGTTTAAGTTTTGGGCCCATAGGTGGAGTGTCGTTGGGGTCTGTGCGTGTGTGAGAGATACCTCTGTCGCATGGTTGTATTAGGGCAGTACATATGTAAACTACACATGTTCATGGACTATGTTTGGCCCATGTATCCCATCCGTGTATGTATGCATGGAGGTACTGTCTACTTATTGGGTTGGTTGTTTAAAGCCAGCACTTGAAGTGCACTTCTCACCACAGCACAAGTATATGAGTTGTTGGTATGGGTGTCTGTACGTTGCTATCCTTGGCGGGGTGTCGGTTGTGTGTATGGGAATATTCTCGCAGGACATCCTCCACCCATGTATATGCCAGTATAAATACAGGCAAACATACTGAATGCTTTACGTCAATGTGTATATACAAGCTATATCACACCACGAAGCAGGTGTATATATAAACATGAATACACACTGACATTGCATTCTATGCACACACTGACATATTTACCTACGTTCACAAACTGTAATAAAGGAAAATGTATAAGCATAGTTACATATGAACATGCACACACTGTCACATTTACCTACATTAACGTTCTATTAATATATTACCTACATCGACGTTCTATTGACATCTTACCTACATTGACGTTCGATTAATATCTTATTTACAGTGACTTTCTATTAATAACGTACCTACATTGAAGTTCTATTTATATCTTACCTACATTGACATTCTATCAATATCTTGCCTACATTGAAGTTTTATTAATATCTTACCTACATTGACGTTCTATCAATATCTTACCTACATTGAAGTTCTATTAATATCTTACCTACATTGACGTTCTATTAGTATACTACCTACATGGACGTTCTATTGATATCTTACCTACATTGAGGTTCTATTGATAGCTTACCTACATTGACATTTTATTAATAACTTACATACATTGACGTTCCATTAATATCTTACCTACATTGACGTTCTTTTAGTATCTTACCTACATTGACGTTCAATTGATATCTTACCTACATTGACGTTCTATTAATATCCCAGGGGTCTGCCGTTGGATATACACGAACGTCACAGCTGCGGTGGAAGTCCCGCCAAACGGGCGCGTGTCTCTGCAGTAGGTAGCGCAACTGGACGCAGAAAGGATTCGGGTGTAGCTGATTGTGACTCAGATGAGGGTGTGTGATTATATGCTGTATTCACTTATGATCAATTGATGAGGGTGTGTGATTATATGTTATATTCTCTTATGATCAGTTGATGAGGGTATGTGATTATATGTTATATCCACTTTTGATCAGTTGATGAGGGTATGTGATTATATGTTATATTCACTTATGATCAGTTGGTGAGTGTAAGTGCGTATATGTCGTATTCACTCATTATCAGTTGACTACCATTTCCGAGTGCTTCTCATTATGAAGCTGAGCCCGTGGCTGGTTACCGGTTTTTCTAAACTCCTCAAACCTTAAGTCCCTTGATATCTGCCAAGGATCATGTTAACGATCCGACCGTTCTGTTAGTAGAGTTCATACATAGAGAGTGATACGATGTACATACACATAGTAGGGTGGCCAGTGTTAGGGTTTTAGGTTTTAGTACTCCACACAGTAAGAATACAAACACACAGAGTGCAATTGCTATTTTTGGAATCTTGGGGCTTGAATTGGTCTTGGCATATTCCTAATTCTCTCTTATTTGGTTCGTTTTCTCTTCTTTCGGGGTTGTTGTTGCGTCGTCAGATGAGGAGAAGGCTGTCGATTCGGGAATGAGCGTCGACGCAGAGATTAAAAAGTGCAATGCAGAGATTAAAAAGTGCAATGCAGAGGCTAACCCGAAATCGACGAAAATTCGGGATTTGATGGGTAAGAAGCACCTGGTTTCGGTACGGATGTGTATGTGGTCAGTGTAATATGATGTACACAGCGTGTATCAATAACCACAAATGGGTGTGTGTATGTGATATGTA